TCCGGAACTTAACTCCTAAAGTGATACTGAGAGGTAAGGCACTTGGGAGGTGAGGCCATGAGGGCTATGCTCTTATGGGTGGTACTACAGTTTTTATCAAGGTGCTTAAGGGAAGGAGTTTGTCCCTCGTCCTGAAAGCAGGGAGGAGCCTTCTCTGATACTGAATTTGCTGGTGCCTTGATCTTAGAATCCAAAACACTTCAGAACAGCGATCAACACATTCTTATTGCTGATAAATGACCTAAGATAAAGTGTTTGGTTATAGTGGCAGAATAGACAGTCAACCTTCCGTAGAGGGAAATTTTGTTTTGCATCGCTTTTGCATTTTGTTAAACAAATAAAAAGGGTCACATGGCCTCATCAGGGAGCTCTATATCTGGTCTGTGATCTGTTCTATTGATCTATTTGTTGATCCTAAGCCGGTGTCAAACTGTTGTGATTACCAGCTTTAGGAGAAGCAATGAAATCAGAGAATGTAATGTCTACTGCTTTGTTCTTTCTTTTCAAGATCACTAGGTAATCTAGTTGTTTTTATAGACAATTCGTAGACTCTGTTTGCTTATTTCTACAAAATCTTGATGGGGTTATGACTGTGATAGGTTAATTGTGGAGAGTTAGCCTGTTCACAGTAACACATCTTTAAAAACTATGAACATAGTATATCTTTTCTTTGCATTAAAGCCGCTTCTCTCAACTATGGTGTAGGGAACCCACATTGTGTTTTGTTTTTCAATGGAAAGCATATGCCGAGATAGGATGCTTTTTTGTTCAATATTTACTTCTGCATCCCAGAGGAACTGAGTGAGTTTTAAACATTTCCTTGTGCAGGCTGACCCCTTGTCTTCATCCTTCCAAAGGATGATTATCTGTGGCTGTCACAGAGAATGTATTGAACACACTTTCCAGAAGAGCTATGCTAACTCGTCCAAATCTCTTACATGTACTCGCTGGTGTTTCTTTTATACCATAGTCACTCTTTTCAAGAGACAAAAAAAAAAAAAAACCCTTTCACCAGGGGATTTACACTCAGTGAGTGTTAAGCAAGATCCCTTCTTGGCTAGTGGTTTGTTGAATATTATCATTTTTTTTTATGTAAGTCGATTCCTATGCAGAACGATCCATCATTATGCTTTTGAGAGGTGGAAACATGCAGTTTCCATTATGCTAACATTTGGGTGGCAGTTACTGTCTGCCTTCATTCTTTATTGGTGAGTTATGACATCTTTTCCGTTGTGGTTGCTCCCCCTGATTCATTGATCCTCCCTGGACTCTCCCTTCCCTTGTATTTCATTTTTCATCCATCAAAAGGGCAAGGACTGAATATACCTTATACTTTTTGGAGCATGTATTGGTTTATTTTTTTCATGTAAATGTCACATTGAAAAAGTAAAGAATACTTTGTATTGTTTATTCAACAGAACTATTAAATATTTAACAATGGCTTGAGGTCAAATGGTGATGACACAACATGTGGAAATACAGGCTGATGATGCATTAAGTGTTGAAATAAATTATTTCAACACATGGTGAGCTTTGCTAGTTTTTGAACTAGAATGGGAATATATATATATGTATATATATATACATATGTGTTTATATAAAAAACTGGTGGATGAATGAATGAGTGAGAGGCAGTATTGGTCAATATGCACTAAATCCCATAGTCACCGGTGTAGCAATATAAAAGAGTATACATTAGAAGAATGTTTATTTGGTTTTCCAATACATGAGCTAAGTAATTCTTTTCAACTTGTCTCGGTGCAATTTCCTTGCAAATAGGGTATGAAAATCATCAACAGGAAGCATGTGCTAATGGCTCACACGCTGGACAGATGGAAACACAGAGTAGAAGAACCATTTAGTTGAGATCATTTTGGCCTCGAGACTTCTAATCTTTGCTTTAACAGAAAACATTGTTTTGGCCAGCCAGATGACACAACCATCACACTGTCAACATTTCCATTTTTGCCAAGGCACCAGATTTCCCGAAGAAACTGTTAGGCAGTGATTCTTAACTTTTTTTTTTTCATGTTTGTGGTCCCTTTGAACAGCTTTGCAATATATGGACCATCTTCTCAGAAGAGCACAGAAAATAGTACACTTACACACTTAAATGGAAACGTTGCATTTGTTCTGAAAGAGTTATAGACACAGAAATCCATGCATGGATAGCGTATGGTTTCATGGATCCTGGATGGAGACCCAGGTTTTGACAGAGCGAGCCTCTAGCACAGGCTGATTATCCTGCCAGTACAGTTTAATTGTCAACTTGCCTTCCAAGAACCCTTCAGATTTTAGAAGTTAGAACGTTCTTCCTAGTGCATAACTTCATATATTATGTAGTCTTACAAAATTTGTGGTTGCTACCATCACAGCTTGAGCGTCTTGAGTAAAGCTCTCCCCATTTCCCAATCCCCCTCCATACACCAATTAGTTATTTTGATCTTTAATAATAATTATCTTGTATTGAGTACATCTTGCATGCCAGAAAACATGGACTATGCCATCACTATTTTCCTTAACTGTTTCTTGCAGCACATGTATATATATTATCATCACCATTTTTGAGGTTGTTCCAGAAAACGTATAACAAAGCTGAGGTAATTTTAGGAAGCATTCCAGTTTTCATTTTATTTATTATTGTGAGTGCACATGCTACTACAGCGTATGTGTAGAGGTCAGAGGTTAACTCGCAGGAATCAGTTTCTCCTCTCACCACATTGATGCCAAGGATTGAACTCAAGCTTAACATTAGGCTTGAGGCCAAGCTGTCTTGCCTGCTGAGTCACCAAACTGACTTTACTCTAGCTTTTAAATCAATTAATCAATAACCCCCTACATAAACTAACACTTTTATATTGAGAAGCCCTTTCCTTTTAAAATGGATTTTAATTTGGTTTGCTAGGGTAAATAAACAGGTCTATAGTTACTAGTATATTCTTTAAAAAAAAGTAAGATAATATTTATAATTTTTTCTATCTTTGCAGTTGAGATACATTGTGAGGAAAGAGAAAGAAGGGAAACTTAGTTGGGGCCTTAATAGTATAAAAGAGAAGTAAGTACAGTGAATAGCGGTGAAGATGGAGGAGCCCTCTTTAAGTGACATTTAAAAGTTATGTGTGTAAAGGGCTGTCAGTTATGAGAAGTGTCTAATGGTGGTGTGTTTGGATGAGATGATAGAAGATTTATGAAGCCTAGGAGGTAAGAGAGGACTCATTCAAAGAACCCCAAGAAGTATTAATGACCAACATGCTGAGTTTGAGAAACATAGAACCTGGGTAAACGGAGAAGCTCATGGTCCACATTGTATAAGCTCTTGCAAACATGACAGATGCTTTGGGTTTTCCAGAGGAGATCCTGTGAGAATGGAAGTGGTGATGTCACATTGCATTTGAAATGCCCTTCGCACCTGATCTGTGGAGGTGGGATGCAGAGGTACTGGGTACCGATGAAAAGGGCTGCCTTCAAGAGCCCATGAAGAGGTAGAATCAGCAGGTTCTTTTGGGTTGAGGACAGAGGAAAAAGAGGCGACTTGGCTTGTTGTTGTGTTTCCAGCATGACGGAGAGAGTAGGTGGCAGCGTCATTTCCTAATATAAGCAACAATGGGAGAGGGGGCAGTTTCTGTTTAGGATTTGGATTTAAGGAGCTTTCCGAGGGTAAACATTTTTTAATACCCTAAATTGCAAGTCCAGTATAGGTACCAAAGCTTAGGTTTGCTTTATGATTTTGGAAACAGCCCATTGCACCGAGATACAACCAATTACCATTAAAGTCACGAAGCAGTTTGACGTGAATTAGCCAACAAACGAATGAGAATGTTTCAGAACCCAACACCGGGGAAAATGCACTCTCCCTTTGTATTTCGGAAGCACCAACATTAAGGGAAAGTAACAACTTGAGATCCACAACTTACTTATTAACGGAACGAAAGAAGCCTGAACACTTTCTCAGGTTGTCAGACTGTTTGGAACCTGTTGTGTTATGTAGATTAATCTCAGTCTCTTGAGGCCACCTAAAATCTAATACCTGGAGAGGGATTAAGGTCAGTAGAATTGATAGATATATTCCCAGAGGTCTCTGACGTGCAACCACACACCGAACAGTATTATTTGGTGTAAGATTTATTGAATATGATTGAATGACAGTTGATAGGAAAGTCACCGGGGGAATGATTGATGGGTAAATGTTGTGTGATAAAACTTTTCTTGGGAAACACAACACACATGTCCACTCACCCCAGATAGGGAGCCCACCACAGACCAAAGGAAGATATCACCAAAGTCCAGCTTGGTGAACTTATGAAGTTTCATTGGGGTTACTAACAGGACTATGGGTGAGGGGTTACTTACTGGAGGAGAAATGACTCAGAGACAGCTGCATCACCAAGGCCCACCCCAGCATGGGTGCTCACAAAGGTGGAAACCTGGAGCACACTGTCCAGCCTTCAGGCAGCTCAAGAGGGTGGAGAGCGTCCCTTTCAGGTGTTTCAGCTGGTCTAAACCTTCCTGGCAGCTCAGCTGGTTTCGGTTTCTTCCAGGCAGCTGGGCTGATCTCTTGTCTTCTTTGCAGCTTGTCTCCTCTGAGAATCTTCATTGCCGATCAGTTTCCCAAGGTCTGAGAGGGGCTCTCAGCTCTTATTGCTTACTTTGTCAAGGAGGGGGCCTTTTAATTTTTTTCTGCTAAAAATATATATATATATATATCACTGTATGGGTTTATTATGTGAGTGCTTTAGCTGCATGTATGACTTTGTGCCAGAAGAGGGCACTAGATCTCATTACAGACGGTTGTGAGTCACCATGTGGTTGCTGGGAACTGAGCGTAGGATCTCTGGAAGAGCAGCCAGCCAGTGTTTTTAACTGCTGAGCCATCTCTCTGGCTCCTCATTGTATGGATTTATAACATTGTTAGTGGACATTTGGGTTATTTCTACTGCCTTATAGCAATTATGAATAATGTTATCATACACATTTAATTACATATCTTTGAATAATTTTTTTCTCTTAGGTTTGAACACATGAATGTAATTTCTGAATCATTTGGAAATTCTATGTGGAATTTTTTGAGGAATTGTCAAAACAATTTTGGACCAGTATTTTGAAATTTTTTTTCAAACAAAAAACATGTTGTTTTCTATATTGACAGCATACACACTGGCAAGGTATGAGTGTTCCAATTTCTCTAATACTTGCTATTAACTACCTTTTTGAGTGTAGCTGAATTAATATGTTTGACGTGGTAGCTTACTGTAGGCTTTTTCTTTATGTTCTAATTATTGAAAGTAAACCCTAGTTACTAAATTCACATGTGGGAATATTTTTATAGTGAAGAAATCAGGGTCAGAGACATGTAGATTAATCACTAAAAATGCAAATATGAAGCACTGGCTTTGATACTTCTAGCTGTAGAAGAGGAAAGTGGCTTACAAACTCTCCAACACAGCACACAGTGCATTCTGGATAGACACAGTGAGTGAGACGGGGAAGACAGGTCTGCCCCGTCAATGCATAGGGACCCAGGCCTTGTAACCAAAGCAAGGCAGGGGGTAGAGTGTGCTAAAACTTATCCACAGCTGAAGGACATCTGGCTTTGTGTCTAAGATTCTCCCCATACAATTCTCCATTTCAAGTCATATTTGTGGTTGTGAATTATATTTTTCCAACTCGGTTTTAACTGCATTATTTAAATTTAATTATAAAAACTATACTTAACTTAAATTTTAGTTCTATAACTCTTTTTAATTTGTTTTATTGATTTTATTGAGCTATACATTTTTTTCTCTGCTTCCCTCCCTTTCTCGCCCCTCTTGTTCTACCGTCTCCCATGGTCCCCATGCTCCTAATTTACTCAGAAGATCTTGCCTTTTTCTATTTCCGGTGTAGATTAGATCCATGTATGTCTCTCTTAGAGTCCTCATTATTGTCTAGGTTCTCTGGGATTGTGAATTATAGGCTGGTTTTCTTTGCTTTATGTCTAAAAGCCACTTATGAATGAGTACATATGATATTTGTCTTTCTGGGTCTGAGTTACCTTACTCAGTATGATGTTTTCTAGATCTTTCCATTTGCCTGCAAATCTCAAGATGTCATTATTTTTTTCTGCTGTGTAGTGCTCCATTATGAACCACATTTTCCTTATCCATTGTTTGGTCAAGGGGCATTTAGGTTGTTTCCAGGTTCTGGCTATGACAAACAATGCTGCTATGAACATTGTTGAGCACATGTCCTTGTGGTATGATTGAACATCCTTTGGGTATATACCCAAAAGTGGTATTGCTGGGTCTTGAGGAAGGCTGTTTCCAAATTTTCTGAGAAATTGCCATACCGATATCCAAAGGGGCTGTACCAGCTTGCACTCCCACCAACAATGGAGGAGTGTTCCCTTTACCCCACAACCTCTCCAGCATAAGTTGTCATGAGTGTTTTTGATCTTGGCCATTCTTACAGGTGTCAGATGGAATATCAGAGTTGTTTTGATTTGCATTTCTCTGATGACTAAGGATGTTGATAATATTATAATTCTGATAGTACCATATGATTAAAGATGTATTATCAGCAAAAAAATCACTTTCTTTCTTATTCCTATGTTGTAAAGTACACGGTGTCAAAACCAGGCTGTTCATGCTATAAAACATTTAAAAACCTTCAAAATGTATTTTCTCTCAAAATTTCATCTTCATATTTTAGCTCTCTTTATAGAAAAAAAGGTCCTTTCTCACCAGACTGGGTCTGGAAAAGAGAAGAAACATCATACTAAAGGAGAAACACAGAGCAAGGCAAATGATATGTTTTGGTAAAGTTTTAAACAAAATGTAAAAACAACAACAACAAAACCTCTTCATTTTTGAGCATGAAAGTAATTTTTTCACTGAAGAATATTTGGGAAATATAGTGTGTAAAGGAGACAATTGAGATCCTGTGTTCCTTTACCACACAGAGATAATGGTTAATGCTTTGGTACATACCCAGACAGTTTTTTTTCTCCCCATATGTAAATAAGCAACTCAGGCAATCACCAATTCCAGTCCAAGATGGCAGGCAGATCTCCCCAATAGAGATTTTCTAGGTATTCTGAAAAAATGTAGAAAAGCTCATCTTTTAGGATTTCTGTCAACATGCAGGGTCTATGAAGGAAGAGGAAAGGAAGAAGGCTGGTAGGGAGTTGACACAATTTTAGGGTTCTTAGCTTGCATAGCAAGTTTCAGACTGAATGCCAGATCTGCTTTGCAGTGAGGAGAACAAAGGAGACAGGACAGAGGTGTTTTAGTGGGGGATACTGACCTATTGCTGAGTGCAGGAAGAATGTTGGGATTAGGACCACCGTGTGCCTTGTCCTGCTAGGGCCATCTTAGGAAAGGGGTTGACTTGTCCTCCACAGGTGGAGTTCATTAAAGGTGCCAAGCTTGGCTTCTAGGTAACAGCTATAGGGGGAAGCAAGACAAGGAGTAACGTCGTACAGATAGAAAACAAGTTCATTTGGAGCTGGGGAGAAGACTCAGAGGTTGAGAGCACTGGCTTCCCTCCCAGAGAACTCCTCTTTTGATTCCTCGCACTCCTTCTCGGGGGATCTAATGCCCTCTTGTGGTTTCTGAAGGCATTGGGCAGGCACATGTAGCACAGACATACTTGCAGGCGAAATACACATGACCTAAAACGGAAATTAAAAAGGAAAACGAATCAATTTATTTCCAACCCTTTTGCACATTTTCTGGAAAAAGGATATTTTGAGATATGTTTTAAGATGGCAACTTTAATTTTTCAGCCCAAGCTACTGGCAAGCTTAGACAAATGTTTCAAGAATGATAATAGGCATACTCAGAGAGTCTGTCATGCTTCTTATCATTCTTAATGGCAGAAATTGCATTGTGTTATGGGAAGCAGCTACAGATGTTTGAAGAATGTGGCTCCTACAATGCCTTAACAGTGTTCAGCTTTCATTGTGATCCCTTTTTGCCTCTAGAAAGCTTTAACAAGCCGCAAGTTACCCATCAGTAGGTAGGGTGCCTAGTCCAGTCACGGCTGTTGGAAAAATTTTTCAACACAACCAACGATTGTTAAAATTCCCTGTGTCTGCTTTGGTGCAGTTTCAGGTCAATTTCTCCTGCAGTGCTATGAATGAAGGAGTAGCCCCGGGCCACAAGAAAGAGACATGCAGAAATGCTGCCCACAGCCCAGTCCCACATAGTATGTCAGAACAAAAGGATTGGTATATGGTGGCAACTCTTGTGGTCTTCCCTTAATACCGAGCTGCCCTTTCTCGTTATTGGCCCTTTATGAATAAGGGGTTGAACCTGCCCCTGATAAGGCAACCGAAAAGTGCTGGCATTTGAGAAAGGATAACCTGGAAATACGTTCTTGGGTTTTAGTTACATATTTACATCTCCCCAGGTCTAGCTGCAATTTGAGAAGAACTCGGAAATCAGGAGATAAGTATTCTTGCACTCAAAAGAAGGGCAGAAGTCAGCCTCCCTTGTGATCTACAGTCTGGATCTCCTATCTGTGAGTTGAATCTCTCTTGCACGCGGGGCGAGTGCGGATCGCGCAACAGAGGCTCCTGTGTGCCTCTGACAGGAGAAGTTTGTTCCGAGCTTCATAGTGTTGTTTTCATCTTGATAGACTAGTACAATCTGGCGGGATGGTGGGGGGTGGGGTGGGCGCTGGAGCTGGGGGAGGGCTCAGGCAGGTGAACAATAAGAGCTTACATGCTGCTGGTGGAAATGGATACATGGGAGCGGAGGCAAGTGAGAGAACGAACTGGGGAATTTCAGAAAGAGTAGCATTGGAATAGGCTGAAAATGACAGAAAGAAAGGCTGCGACAGGTGCTCATGGGAGATTCAGTTGCAGGTTCACTAACCCAGCACCATCCATCATCCTTAGGCTATGATGAGGATTCAAAGTTCAACAGCAAGTGAGGGGCTGGAGAGATGATGGTTCAGTGGTTAAGAGCACTGGATGCTCTTCCCGAGGACCCAGGTTCGTTTCCCAGCACCCTCATGGCAGCTCACAACTGTCTGTAACTCCAATTCCAGGAGATCTGACACCCTCACACAGATGTACATGCAGGCAAAACATCAATGCACATAAAATAGAAATAAATAAATTATCAAGACAGAGAGGGTCATCTTGGTCTGCATCTCTACTTCATTTTGATGCATTTATTTTTTTAACCTTGGTATTAGGAAACCCTGCTTCCGGCGGCATGGCTATTCATATATGTGAGCTGAAATCAAAGCTAAAGAAGGTAAGAATCCCGCATAATGACGTTGGTAGCCAGCCTGTCTGTTCCTCTGATGGCACTGCCTCTTTACCTCTGAGGCTACATGAAATCTCCATCAACAGAAGCTGCCCCAGGCCTGAAGTAAGCAGCATTGATCGATCTGTTAACTGGTCTTTAAGGGATCCGAGTAGATGCCACGTTGCTAACGGTTCAGTTTCCACACATTCTTCCCCACTCCTCCTTTTTGGTTGGCCCTGCTTCCGATCAGACCCTTTGGATTGTGACTGGTGCAGCTGTTGGGATTGAGTATACCTGTCCGGGGTCAGAGTTAGCGAACAGAACTTGAACGCTAATGGGGTGACTACATTTCCGGGTCTGTGTTCGGACACCCTGTGTTTCCACTCAGACTGCGGGGGATGCAGATTTTGTCGTTCTTCTATTAAACAGAGGCTGAGCACGTACCGGTTTCTTCAGTTGCCTTCAGCGCCAGGCCTTTGTCCTTCAGGGGTCATTTCCACGGGAGGGGAGCTGCTTGAATGCGTCCTACTTTTGTAGTCTGACCAGCGTGTGTCCTAGGAGGTGAAATCTGCAGCGCTCTCCTCCCAAAAGACTCGGGGAGGCTTCCTCTGTGAAAACTGGCTGGGCTTCCTCAGCGTTGATTTCCATTTTTGCATAATCTAGGGAAAGATCCCATGGATCTTGTGTACTTGCGTGCGCTTTGGGTTTGGAGGTAGGAGCCACAGCCTGCAGAGAAGTTCCTGAATGAGTGCACCAACGGCACATGACACCGCCTTCTGTGCTGGCTTGGTTTTTAAGAGGATGCTGGGCATAGTCTGATTCTGGCTTTTAGAAGCATGGTTTTGTCTAGCACCCTGCACAAATAGATGTACCCAAATTCAACTGGTGGTGGAGAGCAGATTTCACAGCTTAGCAGAGTCTGCCATTGAGTCTAACATGCTGGCTTCGTCACAGTTTTCTGAGTTTAGGAAAATTATCCGGGAAAAGGATCTGGTGCAAGGGGGTGAACAGGGCTAACACGGGGCGTTGAACCTGTAGTAGTAAAGATGCGGAAATAAGATGAAACAAGATTAAACTTAAGTTTATAGTTAAATTCTGTGTTGTTTTTTTCTTTCTCAAGGTGAAGTCCCACTATTTTGCCCTAGTCACTCCCAAACTTGAATCCTTCCCACCAAACCTCCCCCAATAGCTTCTTTGTGGCGCACTCCATGACCAGCAGGGAAGGACGACCACGAGTCGAGGATTCTTCTGCAAATCACGCTTTATTGGAGCCTCTTGGTTGAAAGGAGAGTGGAAGCGAGGGGCGCCAAGCAGCGGCTGCTTATATAGGGGGTAAGTTGTGCCTGGATTGGCCAATGCGCGCCTGCCGATGCTCCTGGCCACGGGATTGGCCCTAAGCACATCATCACCACTGCGCATGCCAGAGGCAGGGTTCCACTGCATTGCCTAATATGGAATTGTTTACCAAGCGAGGCCGCGGGGCCAAGCGCCATCTTGTAATGGCAGCCACTCGAATCGGCTCCCAGCACTTCTTATTAAAATTTCTCATTCTAAATAGATTTATTTGAAGAACAAAATATGTCTGAAGTCAGAGGTGAAATTTGGGCCTTAAAAAATATGTTCTATACTTAATATTCTGCCTCTTATTAAAACTTCTCTATCCAAAGTAGGCTTATTTGACGTAGGAAAAATAAAGGAGACGAACTAAATGCATAAGGCTATTTTTATCATTTAAAAGCAGAACTGTTGAAATATCAATCTATGTATTTAAAATAAGAAAAAGTACATGTTTAATATACATGAGATATTTAGAATATATAGACATGAGAAGGTGCCTTATATATTATGCAATAAACTGACATATTGTGGGGGTTAAGAAGGGATTTGTTTTTCTAATTTTTGGTATTATTTGAATATTTGTACTCAGTATATTTATTTTTAAAAGAAAAATATGCATTTTCATGGTCAATTTTTAGCAATCTTTGAGAAGATTCAATTATTTCTACAAAAGGAACTATTTGTTAAGGATTTCTTAAAGATAAGTAATATGGGCCAGGTTTTAGTTAGAAAAGAGAACACTGAAGAATTAAACTGGAAAGAAATAAACACTAAGAATTAGCATATTTGAAAGAGTGGATGTAGACCATGCTCTTAACAAATGCGTGGCTATTCACTTCATCACATGACGTCACTGATACCAACTCTTCCAACTCAAGAGAGATAAAAGAAATATGATCATGTACTTTATGATAAGAGTGTCTAATTAAGGCTGCATGTAAAGACGTGACAGACTACGTCAAGAAACTCTGTTGTGTAAAAGTTTCCTCTGAGACTGCAACATTCAATCCTGTGGGGAAACTCAGTAAGCAGGAAGGTAAACAACTCAAAACACCTTCAGGAAGTCCCAGAAACAGACCAGATTCAGTAGTTCCCTCCCTGCCAGAGTAAGCAATAAAAGCTGAGAGTCCCTCTCAGACAAGATAAGTTGCAGACAAGACTCAGACCAGACCAGCTACACGGAAGAAGCAGACTCAGACCCACTGAGGGTCCTGGAAAGGACACTCTCCAATCTGCTGAGCTGCCTGCAGGCTGTACAGTGTGCACCATCCAGGTTCCCAGCTTTGGGAGCTGTCACCCAAGCTGGGATGGGCCTTGGTGATGCAGCTGTCTTTGAATCAAATCTGCTCCTGTAAGTAACTCCAATAAAACTCATTGATTGACCAGAGTGGGCGTTGGTGGTTATCTGTATTTTGATTTGTTGTGGGACCTCTATCTCCGGTAAGCAGATGTGTGTGTTACATCTCCTAGGAAAAATTTTGTCAGAAACTTTAACTGTAGAGCAATACAGTATATAAATACTTTAATTAATGACCAACAGGATTTGGTAGGAATATATTCTGTGTGGATCTACTAGTTTAACTAGTTTAATTGAGGTTATTGTGCTTCTGGGAAAAAGTCACTTCAAACTACTTAGTCTAAGTTTTTTTCTGTTTTCTTTTTCTTTCTTCTTTCCTTTCTTTTTTTTTTTTTTTGATATAGGGTTTCTCTGTGTATCTCACTCTGTATCACTCTGTAGACCAGACCGGACTAGAATTTACAGAGATTTGCCTGTCTCTGCCTCCCGAGTGCTGGGATTAAAGGCATGCACCACTACCACCTGGCTAGTTAGTCTAATTTAAAGAGCAAAACTGAAGATGACATGATGGCTATTCTTGGTCATCAACTTGATTACACCTGGAATTAACCAAAGTTCAAGCTACTGGATAAACTTGTGAGGGATTTTTGTTGATAGAATCATAGGCAGTGAGGAGTCTTGCCATAAATATGGGCCACACCTTCTGGTGGCAGCCTGCATGAAGGTCATGGATGAAGGAGGCACTTGCTCTTTACCTACTTGCCCTCGCTCTTGCTGGCAAGCTCATTCCTTCACTGGCATTAGAGCCTACTTCTTTGGATTTCTGAAGTGTACTGAAGATCATGTTAGACACCCAGCCTCTGGGACTGAATAACTATTGGATTCTTGGACTGGTAGATTGAACAACTATTGGATGCTTGTCAAGAGATAGCAATTGTTGGAATAATCACACCCCAACCTGCAAGTCCCTCTAATAAATCTCATTTTTATAATCATAGATTCATTCTACCAATTCTGTTTCTTCAAAGGCTCTGGTGACTACAGATGAATAGGCCACATGTTTATTACTTTTTCTCAGAAAACTATAATTTTTTTTAAGAATACTTATGTTCAGATTCTATAAGAGAATGGAGGGATCAGTGATTAATTTCTTCCATGGAAACCAACTTGCTCATAACAACATAAAAGAGATATCCAATGGTGGAAATTTTTTTTATTGCAAGTAGAATGAGCAGGTACATATTCTAGGAACAGGCACAAGGCAGACATGAATAGCAGAATAGCGTAGCATTTGCAGCAGGTAAGTGATGAATCTAGGAAGGTTTAAGTTGTGTACGTCCCAGTTAGACTTTGTCCTGTAGACAACGTAAAGCCATGAAAAATATGAAGCACAGCTGTGCACTTGCTGCTGTAAAACAAAATCATGGTCCAGAAATTAAGGCAATTTAAATGGGAACTTACGGGGTAAGTTTATAGTCTTTGACATACTACCCTTTTCCCTATACAAGGAAAACAATAATGTTCAAATAGTAATAGTTAGAGTTACAGATTCTTAAGTATTGTGCCAGTATAGAAACTTTAAAGCAACCACAAAAATAGAAATCATGGGGATGAAGAAATTAATATTTTTTGTAGGTTTTATTAGCTTTTTACTATAGTTACTGTAGCATGCGTTTCTCTTTTAGCTGAATGCCTATTGTGGGCCATATATTCTTCTATTGTGGTAATGTTTTCTGACTCTCTTCAATGGCTAATTTGATACAACTGAGAACCATCTGGGATGTGAATCTTTGAGGGGAATCATTTAGATCAGGTTTATCTGTGAGTTCATCTGTTGGGAATTTTTAATTTTTGAAAATATTCTGATAATTGAGATAGGAAGATCTACCCTGAGTGTGGGCAGCACCATGGTTTGGGTTGGGGTCCTGAACTGCGTAAGCCTGAAGAAAGCTAGCTGGGCATAAGCAGGAGCAAGCAGGTAGCATGGATGCATTCATTGGTCCTTTGCTTACTCCCTTTTTAAACTAGAGAACACTAGAGAAATACTTAAGAGTTTTCTAATTAAAAAAATTATTTTAGCTTTTGTGTATGGCTGTTTTTACCTTGCACACCTGATGCCCATAGAGGCCATAGATGCCCAGAGGAAGACACTGGATCCCCTGAAACTAGACTTCCAGATGTTTGTGAATCTCCATGCAGATGCTGGGATTTGAACTTGGGCTCTCTAGAAGAGCAGCCAGTGCTGTTAACTGCTAAGTCATCGCTCCAGCCCCAAATTTTGTAAATTTTACTTAAAAATATATTTAACCTTACACCTATCTATCTATTATTTATTGGTGTGTGGGGGCATATGTGGAGGTCAGAGACCTTTTCCTGTACAATAGCATCCCAGGGATGGAACTCAGGTCATCAGGCTTGGTAGTATGCACCTGTGCCCAATACCATCTGCCAGCCCCTAAACTACATACTTTCTTAATTTTAGGGTAGATTTAGAGTCATAGAAAAGTTACAAAGCTAGTACAGCAAAGTCTCTATGCCCTACACTTTACATAAGTATATATTTATTTAAGACAACTTAATTATGGTGCATATAAAGTTGGAAAGTCCATATGCTATTTGAATTTCCTTAGTTGTTGATTCTTTTTTCTTCCTCTGGAGCCATGCAGAATACACATTGTCTTTAGTCACTTTGTTTTCCTGCCGTTTTTTGCTGTGACAGTTCATACTAGTTTATTTTATTTATTTGTTTGTGGTTTTGTTTTTTTTTTTCTTTCAAGAAAGGGTCTCATTATGTAGTCCTGGTTATCCTAGAACTCACTGTGTAGAACAGGTTGGCCTTGAACCCACAGCAATCTACTTGCCTCTGCCTCCCAAGTGCTGGGATCAAAGGTGTGAGCCACTGTGTCTGGCTAGATTTTTTTTTTAAGACAACGATTTACTGTGTAGCCCTGGCTGGCCTGGAACTCAATATTGACTGGCCTGGAGCTCACTATGTAGACCAGGCTGGCCTCAACTTATAGAGATCTACCTGCTTCCAGCTCCCAAGTGCTGTGCAGTCAAATACAAGTCACAATAATTTGATGTGGCAGGCCTAGTCAATCTACCTACTTCCTTATCTATCTCCTACACACCTATCTCTTTTATCTTTTTATACAGAGCAGGCTAAAGCACAGGAGCTATGGTGAGAAACTGTTAACTGTGAACTCCAGAAACACCGGCCAGATCCCCATTAACTGTTACGCTGTGTTCCTTCTAATAGACTGGGTACTGATTAAAAGAAAAATGATCACACTCACACATCTGGACTCACGAAGGCAGCTTCCAGTAAGTGGCCCCTCGCAAAATGTACTTCCGGCTAATGAGGGTTGTGACTTATTTCATGGTGTCTTAGTTCTTGTTCCAGCAAGGGCTGGAGGACTAGAAAGAATAATTATACAATGTCTTATTGTTTATATTCAATATGTCAGTATGCCTACTAAAACTCATTTCTGTAATCTTTCCTCAGGTGAATGCTTTCTCTTCTTGGAGAAAATGTCCTGAGACAAGAATTTTTGGGTCACGGTTTAATCAATTTTCAATGTTTTAAGTAAGTTACTCTCGAGAGATTAATTTTACTTTCAAGAAGACAAAATGTTTAACATTCTAATTATAAAAAATAGTTAACCTATTGATTCCATTAACAAACTCTTTCCCAACCAATTGAAGATGAGGGTGAGGTCAATTCTGTTTGATTACTGCACTGTTGATTCTTTTACACCATTCTGGCACATAGAAAGTAATGAATAAATATTTGTTGAATGAATGAACGAACCCTGATTCAATTCAAAGAGACACTAAAGATTTCTTGGTGATACTCTGAGCAGGGAGAGGCCATAAAGAATTTGAAAAGGCAAACGTAAGAGTTGTCTAAGAACGCGAATATCTTTTAAAGGTTTGTGTCTACGCAGGTTTCCTGATGTCTGTGAAAAGAAGCAAGAGGCCCTTACTGCTCTTACTAGGGCAGTAGCTCTCAACCTGTAGGTCATGACCCCTTTGACAAACCTCTTTCTCCAAAAATTTACATTATGATTCATAACAGTAGCAAAATTACAGTTATGAAGTAGCAATGAAAATAGTTTTATGGTTGGGAGTCACCACTACATGTGAAACTGTAATGAAGGGTCACAGCATTAGGAAGGTTGAGAACCACTGGTCCGGGGAAGTCATTGTCTTTGGTTCTCTTTCCTGGCTTCTCCAACTAGAACTCTAGCTCCTTGAATTTGTAAAATTTCATTCTCAGCATGATCTATTATTATGTTTGCAATTTTTTCCTTATGTCTTTCACTATGTAGCCCTGGCTGGTCTAGAACACCACACTGTAGACCAGGATGGTCTGGAACTCACAGAGATCCACTTCTAGGCATGGACCATGGTACCCACCTTATCTACAGTCTTTCTAAAAAGCAAGGGGGTGAATCTTAGCACAGCAAGTGCATGTACTGGAAATGAGCTTCACCAGAGGGTCATTTTTAAAGTGACATTCTCAGCAGTTTTGCTTTGTGTCAACTAACCCTGTCTGCCTGCTGCATAAACTAAAGAACGTATGGAGGTTTTATAAAATAGTAACTTTTTGAGTTGCTTCGCTCTGCTCATCATGTACTTGATCTTGAGAAAGTTTTTTGTGAAAAGGCTGGAGATGTAGCTCAGTTAGTGGAGCGCTTTCCTAGCAATGTACAAAGCTGTGGTTCAGTCCCTAGCGCAACAGAAAGCAGGTGTGGTGGATATCCCTGTGATTCCCATCACTTGGGAGGCAGAGTCAGGATAATCAGAAGTTCAAGGTGGTCTTAGGCTCCACAGAGTGCTCAAGGCTAGCCTGGTATAGATAAGGTCCTGCCTCAAAAACATTTTGTTTTTGAAAATATCCAGAATTTCCAGATTTGGAACATGGTACTTATATCGATGCTAGGTAGGATCAAAAGTGTGGTCTTTGGAGTTATGAGGTTTTCCCTGCAGCCTTTTCTTTCCTCCAGTAAGTTAAAAGGGGGCTAATGGTCAATGTGAAGTAATTCTCCCAGATTTAGTCAAAAGATTGTGAGAAGCCAGGAAACTAACTGTTCTAATGGAGCCTACTGAAGTGTGTGTGTGTGTTTGTGTGTGTGTAGGTCTATCTTAGGATCAAGGGCTGTATGAAAATCCATAGGATTTTTAAAAATTGTAGCAGTGATGGGAATGAACATTTAAAATGGAGAAGCTGAGGTCAAATGTCATTTGTGGGGTGTACATTTGCTACTTTACTAGTGTTTCCATGTGAAGAGTGGTGCACATAGGTAAGGGCTAGGCTTTCAAGGTAATTACAATTGTGTAAAAGCATTCAAAGCTCTAAATAAAATTAGTAAAAGAAAAAACATAATAAAGAAGTATGGTTAACTATTATGAGGTAGCTGTATTTGGTTTTGGCCATGATTCTGAAAAATTGAGAATATATTTAAATTAATATATTTTTGGCATAACGGTGTTTTTCTGTGGACAGCTTGTACACATTTAGATGATGCAGTGGATTTATTCTGGCAACCAGAGCAGAGCTCTGTCGTCTTGGTACCTTGAGAACTACAGGGCTCAGAGGACGGGAGTGGGGCTCCAGGGTCAGTCTTACAAGGGGGAAAATAATCGCCTTCGGTAGATCTTGACTTGATTCCTAATTGTTTATGAGGTGAATGACTTTGAACAGTTTCACTTTTAAATGTGCTTTAAACAACCCTTTGTGTGATTAGCTGTATTTCAAAATCATAACTCCCAATGGCTGCGACAATGAGTTCTTTTAAAGCTACAGGGTCAGTGGAATGACATAAAACTTTTATTTGCTACCCAGATGAGCCAAGTTGCTTTCTGCTTTCAAGTGAAAGACGTTGAATAGGGGGCACGATCTTCTGCCTTTCCAAGTACTTATTCTTAAGTCAACATCCCACTCTGTGCGATATGAAGCTTTAGTTTTCTATCTTGCCAGCCACGGTCTTCATTAACTCCTAAGCCATGGTCAATGATACTTCAGCGATACACACACACACACACTCCAGGTGCAGTTAGTTGTTCCTTTGATGGAGCCTCTCCATCCATGTAATATAACTAGCCAAAGTTTCATTAACAACACTCATGAACGAAACCCCACACTCCAATTTAGACAGAGTCTCTGGGTGAGAGGTGGTGACCTGGGATGATTCTTCTCTCAACGGTGGTCTAGAATCACTGAAACAGCTCTAAGAGAACTCTCTGAGAACACCATTCCTTAGAGTGTAGAGTAGACACTGCTGGAGGAAGAGGAGAGGATGCTGGCACTAAGAAGAGAGGTGAGGTGAGCTGGAGGTGCCAGAGCTAAGTGTTGGCTCCTGCCACGAATCTGCCCAGGGCCTGTTTCTGGGAGCGTCATTTTTACTTTGGTCAGTGGCTCTCTGACTAATCTCCCTCGTCCAGGAAAGTGGGAGACATGAAAACCCTGCTTTGGAAATGGCTGTGCTAGACCACAAGAATGCATGAAAAACAAAGAATTCTCAGAGATAAACTCCCTTGACTTAACAGAGCCCCTGGGGGCAGAGGCTTTTATTTGTGCTGGCCCCAGTGACATGTGGTGGAGATCCAGATATGTCCTGGATCTTGTGATCATAGACTTTCTTTTGAAAACAGTTGCTGCCAATCTGTCACTCCTTTGTGCCCGTTTGAAAATGCGGGGTATCAGCTGCTGTCGCTGTTGGTCCCTTTCTGGTTTCCAGCAGGTGGGTGTGTCTGTTTCTTTTCTTTCATCTCCATCCAGCTCTCTTCTTTCAGGCACTTTCCGGTTTGTCAAGCCAAGTATGCCTATCGTGTTGGAACCCAGCCCTGGGACACTCACCAACTCTCTTTGTCTGAGTGTCTGCGTGTGTCCATTCCTCCCTATCTTCTGAAAGCCCACCAGCCCCTTCACAAGCTCACCTACACTGGAGTTTTTATATTGCAGATGCTCAAAAACTGCCAGTTCACCTCATAGCCTCTCTTGCCTGGAGATTCGTTCTTGCCCCACACTTTCCGCTTAGCCACCTTGGCCATCTTTCATTCCCTCCACCCCCTTCCCTGGGTTTTCCAGCTGAGGTCCTACTAACTGCTTTGGTAACTCCTCTGAAGTAAGCAGAAGAACTCAGTAGATTACACGTGAAATTAGGATCTAAATTCTGTCTTTTAACTCTGAGGACAATTATTCTGACGAGTTGTTGAGCACATTTCTTTTTAACATGTGAAATAAACAAAACATAACACTTATAGATGGACACTCCATACAAGGTGGTCATTATTATCCATCTTACTTTTGTAAAAACAAAAACAAAACCTTCCCACATTAAAGATTTTCCCGAGTTTGCAATCCCAAGAGAGGTAGGAGATGGAGAAGTAAGTAGTTCCCAGTCTAGTGACCCTAAAGTAGGACTGTAAAGCAAACAGACCCGAAGCAGGGCCAAGCACTGTGATACTGCAGTGAACCAAGTCCCCTGCACAAGCTTGATGAGACTCACATGGTCCCCTCAGTGCCTTTTGTTGAGGGAAAGCCTTGAACCCCCAAATGGACAAGTTCAAAATGTCCCGAGATGTCCCCTCAGTGGGCCATGAAGCCTCTCTCATGCTATAGGTTCCTATGTTCTGCTCCCGTGCCCACATGATCGATCCTCCAGTCTCCTGATATGTTTTCTGTTGTTACTTGTGCACCTACTTAGGGATGCCCAAGAGCTGTGTAGTTTGCGGGATCCACAGATGAACATATCCCTGGCTTATTCATCTCTGAGATACTCCTTTCCTAGATTTGAGTTTCAAAAGAAAGTTCACTCTTTCCTCCCTTCAGAATTTGACCTTTTTATTTTATGACTTTCTTTATTTCTAAACATTCCAGGTAAGCAGATGGTACGGCTGCATTCTACCAACAGAACACACTTACAAATGAAACCCTTCCACATCCTTCAAACCCCTCAAGCTCTCCAGAAGTTTTCTGTTTGCACTCCTGGCTTTTGTTCATTCTTGAACTCCGCTCTCTCATCTTACCCATCATTGCTGGCTCGATGTCCATACTTCTGGCTGCTGCCCAAACTCTACCTCTTCTCAGGACCCATCAAAACTTCTGTTCAGGATCTAGTTGGTGGAGATCCCAGGCTTCTTAGGAGTCATGTTGTCATTTTCATTGAGTGTATGCCTTCTGTGGATACAACATGGAAAGTAGAATAATAATTTTTTTTAAAAAATGCTCAGTATGAATACATTGACCGGTTATTGATTTTTGCTTTGCTCATATTTCACATTTCCTTTTCTCGTCAGATCCTGCTTGCAGCCAACATAGGATTATATTTGGCACTTGGGGACAAAGATGGCATGGAGAACTAAAACCTGCAGATAATCCTATAAGCTCATTTAGAACAAAGGTTTAATTATACCCCTATCAAGTGAGTCTTTTATCTGAGCTGAGTGGAAATAAACAACAAATTGGTGATCTTCATCTGGTCTGCTTGCTTCTGGAGGCCTTGGCAAGAGGCACACACACTGGAGTGGAGGAGACAGGCAAAGATTCTGCACAGGACAACAGGATTATGCTTGGTCGTTTTGGTCAGAGATGTGTTAAACGCATCACTGCATACATCTTTGGCCTTTCTACGCGAAGAAATAAACATTTGACAATTTGTTTCAGGGTGGACTGAAACTCGTCTGGGAATGTTATGTACTTTCTAATGACTAATTTTCCTCCTTTGTAAACCAAGAGGTTAAGTGGTACTGTTTCTGGAGATGGAGGTGGCCAAGTGCCAGGGTTTGTGTGGGTGAAACAGAAACAAGAGAGGGCACCAATGGGGGACTAACTTGTGCCGTGGCCAAGGGGCTGGGCTCTAGTCCTTTTATGTCATCTTGTACCGTCTGCTTGTCAACAATCATAAGAAGCTGATGTCTAGATGTAAAGCCTATGGCACCCTAGCAGGATATCCATCTTATCTGTTAGAAAGTTCTTTAATCTACTTCCATTACCAACACTGCAGTATGGATTTATTGTGAAAGTATTTAATAATTGTTACAACACCAGGCATTGACCTACAAGAATGGGAACAGATGGTTATTTGGAATCTAAGGTCCAATTGCCTATTGCATGGACCCTGTAATGGCCTTCAAGTGGACCCTCTACAGGTAGAGTGATCTTTGTCAAGGGTATATACCATTTGGTTATACCTGCCTTTGGGTTCTTAAAACATTTCTATGATTCCTTCCTATAACCTTTAAGACAAAGAGCATCCTTTGTACAGTGTTTAAGTACTCCGTTACTATGTGTTTGTGGTACCATGGATAACTTATCTCCTTTACGAAGATATCACCTCCATGAAAGGAGAGATGACACCCCCTCCCATAATTACGTTCTCAACGATCATTCAATATAGTATTGACTTAGACCTGGAATTTACTGAATGCTCTTTGAATGAATAAATTAATAAGAAAATAATCCAAACCTTCCCCCATGTATCTGGCCCAGGATTTTTGTTGTAAAAACATGTGAACTTGTGTTTAATAAACAATTTTATTGAAGATACTTGATACTTCTTATACTGTTACAAGGCAACTTGTTCTTCTAGTGGGGGCAGTGGCAGAAATCTGGGAGTTCTTCTAGGTTACCCTATTAACTTTGCTGCCATCATGTGTGTACTTACGTCGGACCCTCTCTTCTGTTTCCTGGATGGTTCTCCTCACTGTGCCCTCCCCAACTTCTAGTCATTATAGACACAGGATCATTGTAACATGCAGTTATTTCCAGCTAGTTCCTTGCTTTTATTCTTCCTTTTCCCTGGTTCATCTTCTGTGGATCTGTTAAAAAAGCATGCCCCAAATCCAAACTTAACAATGTCACTGTTGCTTGAAGAGTCTTCAGGGTGTCCCACAAAGAATCAGCTCTGAGTTCAATGTAGAAAAATCTACTGTCTTTTGGGACTTGTCTGTTCTTTGATATTCTTTGATGCCAGAAATTTTTATTGAGTACCCACTATGTTCCAAAGGATCTATTGGATGGCAAATAAGAATGTATTTTCTTATTCTTTATTAAGATTTTTTTTTGGTGTGTGTGTGTGCATGCACGCTCGTGTGTGTGTGTGTGTGTGTGTGTGTGTGTGTGTGCATGCTGTGGGTAAATATGTGCTCGTGTGTGCTAGGCAAGGGCACAGTCACATCTCTTCTTATCCCTTACTGCAAATGTTGTCTAATTTAATGGGACCCTCACCTCTAGGGTAGGCATTATATAACTAATATCTATATGTGATTCCATCTTTAATTTTTTGCCATAATGGGATCTCTTTTTATTTCTCAGTTCTTCTGGCATTAGCCTTAAAATATTATTTTGCAAGTCGTAAGAACTATTTTTCTTTTAAAGTATCGAATGTACGAGTAAATTTTGCTCTTCTCCACGTTCACACACGCACGCTATGTACCTTGGTCTGTCTCCCCACTCACTCTTTCGCTTTCTTTTGTCTCCTTTACCAGCGCCCCCCCCCCAGTTTCTCTCCTGTTTACTAGTTTTGGTTTGGTTTAGGGTTCCACAGAGATTAATCAGGCCAGACCCTGTGAGCTTGGAAAGGCCAATCAGAGCCGATGGGTTCACGAGAGGCTGGTACACAATTTGATAAGGGTGCTTCTTGTTGCCCTGGGGTCTGTCATTCACTAACAGATTGGCAGTGTGTGGTGGAGCCCGTAGGTCCTTTCCTCTCCTGCAACTGACTTCAGGAGGGCCTGGCTTCTGTGGCCCCAGAGCCAGTATCACAGCTGTTGTGAGTTCGCAGTCCCCATGTCCACGTCCTGCTTAGAAGATGGCATTTCACAGCCTTTCTCCTCACCTCGAGACCCTTCCTTTATCTCCCCTTCCCCACTTCCATAATGAAGACCATTTTTTCCTTGATATGCTTCATCTTATCACTTTCCTTCCCGAGGAAGGATGGGCTGTTCTTTCACTGAGCACTCTTGTGATGCAGTTTATGTTTCTTTGTGTTTTCCCCACAATAATTTGTAGCGTCCACGTGGCATACCATCTTGTCTTGATCCTTATTGCTTCAGATAAAAGAGAGCTACATGTTAAATGATAAATAAATGCTCAAGAAATGCTTATCAACTGAGGAAACAGCCCCTGAAAGTGCGTAACCAAAGAATATATTATTTAGACTATACATCTTTCATGACAAGGTTTAAGAAACGGGCATTTATTATAATTTTGTGGGTATGTTATGTTCTAAAAGTTGATATATTGCAAAATGTGGAGCCAGGTGTGGTGGCGCACATCCTTAATCCCAGCACATGGGAGGCAGGGGCAGGTGAATCTCTGAATTTGAGGTTAGCCTGATCTACATAGTGAGTTCCAGGCCAGCAGGGATACACAGTGAGACCCTGTCTTAAAATAAAAATAAAAAAATAAAAAAGCAGGATTCTATGTTATTAGGCGTCCTTTATTTGTGGAATCCAGTTGCATTTTGACTTTTTAAAACTTCGTATTAACTGTGATGGAAAATGAACTTGTGTGTGTGGAAGATAAACATACAACTGTGACAAATCTCAGTAGTAAAATTTTTCTTACAGCAGTTTCCTACTTTGATTTACGATGGAATTTGGCACGGTTTGGAATGGCAAATGCTGATATTATTCCCCCTGGAACTTACCAGATTTTCTTTCTGTGGATGAAGACGTTTATTTTAGCAATCCATTTTCAAGTGGGCTCTCTCAGGCATCACTTTTTTTCCTCAGGACACCTATTTTTATTTCTGTCTCTTGGTTATCCTTGACACAAAGTCAACATCAACTACGTCCCGTGACAGCAGATTCTGTTTAGAGCTCTCTCAGGCGTGTGTGTGTGTGTGTGTGTGTGTGTATGTCCGGGTATGCATGTACTTGGGAGTGCCTGTATATAGAGGCCAGAAGTGGATGTTGGGTGTCTTTCTCTATTGCTCTTTACTTTACTTATTTCTTAAAACAAAAATAAAAAAAATAAAAAGCAGGATTCTATGTTATTAGGCATCCTTTATTTAAATGGAATCCAATTGCATTTTGACCTTTTAAAACTTCATATCAACTGTGATGGAAAATGAACTTTTTATATTTATTATTTTTATATGTATAGGTGTTTTGTCTTCATGTATACCAGTGTACCGTGTGCATATATAAGAAAGCGAGAAAAGGACTTTGGGGCCTCATGGGACTGGAGTTATAGATGATTGTGAGCCACCAATGGAACCCAGCTACTCCGGATGAACACCTAGAGAATGCTCTTCGCTGCTGAGCCATCATCCAGCCACTGCTGTTGACTAAACCTGAAGCTCATTAGCTCAGCTGTGCAGCCTGGCCACGAGTGCTAGAGTTTCGTCTGTCTCTGCCCGTCGAATGATATGGCAAGAGATGGACATCCATCAGTTGAGCTGAGATTTGAACTCTGGTCCTCATGCTTGCGAGGCAGTGACTTTAACGACTGAGCTCTCTCCGCAGCCCCTTTAAGAGTGTTTCTGAATGAATAAATCACTGGAAGATGTGGAGCCTCCTTAAGGAAGGGAAAGCACGGTTGGACAGCCTGGTACTGAGCAAACTCTCAATGATATTCCTGCTATGTTCCAGGCCCTGTGTGCACACCATCCGGGTGTTTATAAATTCTACTTGACCATTTTGAGATAGCTAAGGTTATTTTATTTTCCACGACACCTTCGTTTTCTCAGTTACAGAGCCAAGGAATATAACACAGGCGCCACACAAACAGTGTCATTTTGTTCCTAATGATGCACCTTTCTGTAACTCCAGTTCTAGGGAATCTTGTACCCTCACACTGACACACATGCAGCCAAAACACCAATGCATATAAAAATAAGTAAAATGTTAAAAATGAAAATGCCATAAAGGAAACCTCCTACTGCAGAAGCATCCTAAAATATATGCATATACATATATAAAAAGAGCTTTAATGGAATTACCTTACAAAGACAGAAGAGTACCCCAACCAGACATCACAGCCTAGAAAATAAAATACCCAGTACCAGGAAGGGGCTACCTCTTTTTGACTTGTTGGCCAGTGGAATTTCATAGACCCTCACCCCAAACATTACAAGCTCTTGCCAATACTCTTGATTAACTTCTAGAACTTGATGCTAAGACTCCGCTGTTGAACACACTATGTACTTGAGTTATAAAGTACTGAGAAACCAAGCTGGTCTTTACCCAGAAGCTCCATTCTTCATAGCTTTCACAGTGCAGGAGGGTGCTGTGCACACACTACTAGAGGGGGGAAAAGCAATTGTCAATCTTACACAGTTGTAAAAGCAGTGATCTATAGGAATGACTAACCGCAGGATACGCTCACTGGTATAATAGTGGCACTAATGTTAAGGGTGTAACCAGCGACTTTTGGATTGGATCCCAGGCCTACTACTTGAGCTAGAGCTCAAACACGAGGCTATTAATGAGTCCAAGAACCTGTGGCATAAGAGGTTGGAGGTTCTAGGGGAGAATCTCCTGTTATCCTGCTAAGTGGACACGGTTGAAAATGAATTCTAATGACTCAATGCCCATAAATCAGTGTATCTCTTAAACCTCATTAGAGAGACTTCTCCTTGCAGTATACAGTAATCAATACAGAGACCCTTAACTGGTCGGCAAGAACTGAATAAGAGACTGTGGAGTGCTCAGTCTGAAATTGGATACACACACATACAATGTGTATATATATCACTCCCCCACTGCCAAGACTCAGGGTTTCAAGGAAGAGAGGCTGGTAAGATTATAAGAGCCAGGGTTGTGGATAATCTGAAGGAGATGCTGTTTCTTGAATACAACAGAGCAGTTGCACATATGAACTCACAGCAATCATGACAGTATGCACAAGATCAACTAGCCCAAGCCAGACAAAGTCCCCACATGTGGAGGAGGGCATGAAACCCCACCATTCGCTGAGGAGCTATTGTCATTTAATAGCTGCTGAGAGAGAAAAAAGTTAACTTTCGTTAATGGTGTACCCATGTTAGATTGACCAGACTCTAGGGTAGGCCCTTCTCTCAAGAGTAGTTGGGCAACACAAACTGGACTTGATGGGAGGAAAAATGAGGAGGAGGAAGAGAAGAAGGAAACAACCATGATGGTGACCATGACAAATCAAAGTTGGGTGGGTAGGGAGGTGAGGGTGGAGAGTGTGGATTTGGGAGAATCTGGGAAGAGTTTGACTGTGATAAAAATATGTTGCATAAAATTATCAAAGAATTAATGAAAATATTATTTAAAGAGTCCATGTACTTGAAATAGACCAGACAAGGAGGGGAATATGGGAGGATTTGGATGGAAGAAAGGGAAGGGAGAAATGATGTAATTATAATTTAAAAAAAATAGAAAAATTTCTACTTCCAAACTTGTGTTCTATGATTACATTTGGGAATGCTGTATATATACTGGATGTATTTTCCATAAATATGATTTGTATTATTTTTTGCAAGTCTGCCACTTCTTTCAAACTCT